AAAGATGCTGCTGCCCAAGATTATGTACTATAATGAGCATTGTTCTTTTTTTATGAGGGTTATTTAAAAAAAGTTAAAAGTGATGCACCCAAACGACAGAAATGGAATATTTGTAATTAATTATAATAGTTAGATACAGAATTTGGGGAAAAAAAGATACATTATAGAATAGTATACTGATTGCTATAGATGCGCAATTTAATATATCAATAATTAAGTCATATATAAGTCAGGTTTTCGCGAATGCACTAGCATATTTAGACTCATTATTTTTAAGTAATCTGATGTTCTTCGACTGATAGATTATTTACAGTTACTATGATGAAGGGAATTAGTACATTAATTATATTCTCCTATACAAAACAAAGTATATTTAGGATGTTATATGATAAGAATAAGCCAAATGGATAAGTGACTCACTTTTTTATGTTCTGAAACGCGCTCTCAAAATAATCAGAAGTCGGCTGAACGCCAACTAATCGATGGGTCTCTTCCGCAGACTCGCTGCCAAACCCCGATCGGCTAATAACTTCGTCTGAACGCACAAGCCAAGAGAACTGAGGTGAACTGAGTCCAGCTTCCGAAACCGTTTGCATGCCTTTTAGTTGCAATGGATGCAGATCTTGGTTGTGCCCAACTCGTAGGAGATGCAACTGGGCTTCTTGATCTAGTGAATGCCTTATCTGTCCTATCTGCTGTTGAAAAAGCATATTGTTTTCCTGATAGTCTAGAGGATTGAGCTGAGGTTGGTAATGTGGATGTAGTAATATTTGTGACGAAAGAGGCACCTGTTGATCTATTAATGAATTGGGAACAAGTTTGTAAATGCCGACTCCAGCTTCAGACACACAATGGTCACAGTTCCCCTGCACATCAATTTCAAACCCAGGAACATCTTGGTCCCCTACCACCCTCGTATACATGTTCGATCCGCTGGGGTCAAGAACATAGGTGTCTTCCTTACTCGCCAAACAAGCCTGATTATGTTTACTAGGCAAGCCAGGGACATTCCCAGCTACAATGGGGATTTGAGAAGTAGCTTTACTGGGCGAATCATTTCGTTGAGGCAAATAAATAAGCGATGGAGGAATGGAAGACAAGGAAGGAGCAGACCGAACAAACTGGCCTGAGTGATGAATACATGACGAATTGTCAGTCTGATTTGCAAGAACGGCTGTAGAGCGTTTTGGAAGATAGCAAGAGTGCAGTTCAGATCGTTCTAACAAAAAGCTGGGCTTGTGGTTAGTGTTTTCAAGAAGAGGTGAATTTGAAGCGGAAGAACCTGTAAATAAGATGGTAAGAAGGTTCACAATAAATGTGGATTACGAAGTACAAAAAATGTTTTATTAAAAAGGCATGAAACAACGACATTAAGTATAATATAAGTAAAGAGAATAATGAAAAGTAAATTAAATTGAAAACTAAATCAAAGCTTCAAGCATTTATAATAGAGGGGCGATCTCGGCTTAATCATGAAATCGCAAAGAATCGATTATTAATTATAATTATAGAAGATAATGTGTTTAATACAGAGGAGATAATTCAGAAATCGAAGAGATCGTAGCTGCCAACAATTTATAGAAGTGGCTTAAACTAGTTGTCGCAACTTGGTCTTAATATCAGAGTAACACAGTAGAACTCACCTAGTCTGAAGTCGACTGCTATAGCAATTGTCATGATTCCCAGAATCAGAAAGCTCCTGGAATGAAATGCACATTGGACTGGAACCGAGTGAAATCGGTCAATCAGAAAGATAAAGAACGGATGCACGAGACAATGAGGAGATCCGGATTGGAGGCCCGAGTCGGATCAACACTAGGTTTGCCACACATGGGCATACATTTTGACGAATGGAATGTAAACAAATCAGAAGTTGTGATAGGGCGGTGGTGGGATAAGAGGGTAGAGTAGATAGATGAGCCACGACAGAAAGAGTGATAGTGTAACCGTTTTCGACAGAACGTTTGTCGAGGGATTGACTTCACTTGTCTCTTTGACGAGTTCGTGGCTTAGTGCGGAGAATGGCAAAACTCACTAATGATGCCGATTACGATGCCGGGGAAAGGTTTGAGAATGTACCAAGTCCACTGCCTGATACTGGGAATCATGACAACTACTATGGCAGGCGACTTCGGACTAGGTGCGTTATACTAAGTCGCCCTGACAGCAAGATCGAGTTGCGACGAGGTCAACCCACGTCTACAAATCGAAAGGAGACTGCTACTATACCAGAGGTCACAGCATCTAGGCCTTCATATTAAACTACGGGAATAAAATTGCCGGGCAATGCACTGAATACAGCCGGACAATTGTAAGACAATCGTCTTATCTGACTTTTTAAACTGTTGTAAACGTTATGGAATCACTCCTAATTTCTGTGACCTTAAGAGACCCTACCACTCGGATAAGGTTGATAAGAATCTCCACCAGGCGTCTATTCAGAAAGTAAATGAGATCTATGATACAGAGTTGAATAAGTTGTTTAGGTTTATAGATATTAAGTCAAAGCTCCGGCGTGATTTGTGCAGGATACTGTCGCCAGAAGATTTTCAAAAACTTCAAAGCATGATTGATAGGAAATCATATAGGATTTCTGACTTAATAACAAAACGGCAAGTTTGGGGTTATAAGGCAATCTAAGTTAAAGTCAGTAAGCCAAGTTGAAATGGCTTCCAAGATGACAATGCATACAGATCAGCACGAGGATCAGAAGAAAGTAAAAAACTTATCATCAATTCCTCTCAATCCCGAAACAACCGCGTTCGTGGAAAAAGAATTAAATTTTTAAATTGAACATCACAAAAACCTTCTAGGAGACATCCTGGTGAAGGTTATCAAGATCGCCGACAAGTTCCCTGAGGAGACAAAACGGGAAATGGAGATGGAACTAATTCCAAATATCTTGATACATCAGTAGCATATACACAGGAACAGATTTGCTAGGATACGTAAGACCCTGGCAATGAAAGAAGAATGAGTCCTTCAGGCTGATAAAGGAGGAGCGACAGTAAGTTTATGTGTGAAACTAAAAAAATAAATGAGGCTATCAAACACGGTGAAATATTCGTATGCGTTTCCTCAAAAAATCAAAAACATAGCACTGGAAGAAACGAATTTGTTGGTAAGTTTCGCTCTGGAATCCATGTATACATATCTCTGGAGAAAATGCGCTAACGGCCATGCTGGAAATTTTGGACCAAGAGGAATATATCCTGGAATCACAACGGATCAGGAAGGAGTTGTTAACAAGACTAATCAACTTGACAATAAGGTCAACCTATTTTACATTCAACGGAAACATCTATGAACAAATATTTTGACTTCCGATGGGATCGCCGCTCTCACCACTTTTGGCAAACGTATAAATAAACAAAATAGGAGAGAGCTTCAAGAAGGCACGCTACAATCGGCAGTGCTCATGCGGTATCTGAATGATTACTTAGCCCTTTGGTCACATTGAAGAGAAAAACGGGAAGTTTATGAAGTATGCAAACCTGATTTATGATAAAATTCAATTCACAATGGAAGGAGAGGAAGATGAGGGGTTATCGTTCCTGGACGTTGGAGTGATTCGCTCTAATGGAACGCTCAAAAAGAGATTGTTCAGAAAGAAGTCCTATGCTGGGATAATATTCAATTTCCGGTTCGATCACAATTACAGGTTAAAGATAGGAATAATGAGGAGCATGAACATCCGAAGCCTACGCCTAACGGATGTAGAATTCTGGGACGAGGAGCTGGAAAAAATGACTAGGATCTTCCTCGGCAATGGCCACCCAAACGAAGTGATACAAAGAAACATACGGGCTGTGAAAAGCCGATGGCAGAACGGTGACTATGCAAGAATAGTAAGGAGTATGAAGGATTCACAAATGTGGATATGCCTGTCTTCCTGTGAATTTACTCAAAAACTACGGACAATATTGAGTAAATGGAATATTCAGCTGGCCATGAAAGAGAAATCAACACTTTTCACAAGTCTACCGACGCAACATCAAAGGGTGGACACATTTGATTGTTCAAGAGTTTACTGTATATCATAGGATGCCTGCGAACCGAAATACATTGGCGAAACAGGGAGAAAAATTAGCACACTAATCAAGGAACATCAGAGGCTCTGCAGGAAAATGGATATCGAAAGATCAATACCAGCGGAACACAGCACAGACTGGACACGAGATCAATTAGAAAGCAACAGAAAGAAGAGCCCTATACGGTGACAACACAAGGATGCGGAAGATAAGGGAGGCCATTGACATCTTTGGGGAGAAAAATGAATAGGAGGTTGAAGAAGGTAGAGTTAACGATAACTTTGTCTACTGCCTAAGCAAACACGGGGAAAACAAGAATAGAGCAAGACCAGCAAAAAGGAGACGCCTGGATCAAGGATCCACCGCTAACCGGAGGAAATTGGGGAGGGGAGTTTCGGCAATCGAGCGAAGACGTTGTCAATGAGTGATGTCCGTTTCGAATAAACCAGTACAACTTTGGGGGCCTGGCAGTCAGGGAGCTGGGCAGACGGATAAGCAAACCGTCACGGAAATTCGGCGTTATGGCCAATATGTACTAGAAATTCACTTGAGACGCCACATGCGACCAGAGATAGGCGTCCACAGTTTGGTCAGATAAAATGGATTTAATCAAGGAGAGGACCCATGAAGGGAAAGTCTGATATCTGCAAGCATGGGAATCAAAGCTTAGGCGCTCTGCTCAGTGAAGCGGCAGTGTATGTGCTTCTACTGCCTTGAGAAATAGTGTCTGAAGTGAAATGCACCCTGGGATATAAACCGAGTGAAATCGGTCAACCAGAAAGATAAGGAACGGATCTACGAGACAATGAGAGGGTCCGGAATAAATGCCCGAGTCGGATCAACCGATCGAAAGAGAGGGGTTCGGGTGAAAAACAAGTGTGATGAAGCCACACTAGATTTGCCACAAAAGGGCGTACATTTTAACGAGTGGAATGTAAACAAATCAGATCTTGTGATAGGGCTAAGTGAGATGAGAGGGTAAAGAATAGATAGATAGGCCAAGACAGAAAGAGGAGTGATAGTGTAATCGTTTTCGACAGAACGTTTGTCGAGAGATTGACTTCACTTGTATCTTCGACAATTTCGTAGCTTGGTTCGGAAAATGACAGCACTCACTGATGATGCCGACTATGATGCCGGCGAAACGTTTGAGAATGTACCAAATCCATTGTCTGATGCTGGGAATGATGACAACTACTATGGCAGACGACTTCGGACTAGGTGCGTTCTACAAAGTCGCCTTGACAACAAGACCAAGTTAAGACAACGAGGTCAACCCACATCAACAATTTATAGCCTACGATAACTACAATAGACTGTTGAAGAGAAAAACGAAATTTTACCTGATAAAAGTTCTATATAATATATGTCTAGTGTCACTGTGTTCTAAATATATCCATTTTTCATTTAATAATTATCTTTATTCAAGAACTTTTGAAACGAAAAAAATAGCTATAAGGAACACAGTAAGGTGTCAAGGATAAAGTGCGTAAATATAACTTAGCGAAAATTACACCGAAGGCCATGCCTAGTGAAATGAGAATGCAAGCACAGGATGGTATGGCCTCTATTTTGAATGCAATATCCTTTTGACGTTTACATGTAATTTCGCAACGTTGTTGTATTCTCAGAGGAGATCTTGATCAATGCAACTTGTCCGAAGACCATTGGCATGGTAACTACGATAATTTACAGTGTCAGAAGGCGGACTTGATACATTGCCAGATATTTTCCTGGCGTTGTCAGTGAGCCTTGCTAACCTTAGCACCAAGCCACAACACGACAGAGACAATTCTATCCATTGGCCAACTTTCACCTATCCCATATTCTCGCATCCTACCCCTTTAATATCACAACTTCTACGTTGTCTGTTAGCACCTATATCAGAGGTGTCCTTTTTGAGCCTCTTTGTACAGACCTACTAACACTCATTCTGATTTTCCCAGCTCCTTCCGCCATTGTACTCCCCTAACCCTAACCGAAAAGTTGATCTGACTCGGCCATTTCAGTACTTCATCCACCTTCTATTGAAGCCTCTCCTTGCGCCATGGGCGTCCTATCCCTTGCCTCCCTTGTTCAGTGATTTCACTTGGTAACTGTCACCATATTTGTGCTACTCGAGACGTTATACCCCATCATCTACGTTAAGAGTTTGGTAGTAAGCATACTGTAGCCTAACTGAGCGGGCCTCTAAAGTCTGAATTTTCAAGCTGGATGAAAGACTAAATTTACATCGTAGCTTCCCTTAGCTGAGATTGGCCTGTATATCAGGCAAATCTCATAAGCAGGCTTTGCCGGTCCAGCCCCATGATCAAACCCGTATAACGTGAGCCGGATGTTGATGCCCTTCTTGAGTGGAGTTATGGAAGAATCGGCCTCGCTCCTCTATTCATAATACGAAATCTTTTAAGCTATGGTCATTTGTGTGGTGTATTCGAGGTTTGACTGGGCCATTGTAACTTATTACCGCGAATCTCGATTGCCTCTCAGGTGTTTCTTCATTTATTTCAGTAAAAATTAAATCCTTGATCTATTCGTCTGATTTATACTGACTCCAAATGAACACTTTTCGCAAATTCTGACTCCCTCTAGTCGCTCATTCGTTAGATTTATTTGAGTTAGGATAGATACAGTCTATTTAACCGT